ATAAGAGAGGAAACAAGGAACCTCTCTCTGATCCCGCACGCCTCAAGAGGCAGTGCGCGTTCTAGAGAGTATATATTTTAGTGATCGGAACGTAGCCGATAGTCCAATGAGAGAATTTGTTTTTCGAAAATGAGTTCTCATTAGACTATCGGGTGCGTTCCGACATGCCACAGCGACATACGATATACTGTTTCAGACTTTAGGGCCAGCGCACGAACATTGCCGTAGCTCCTTACGCCACCTTACATAACAACTTTACGTTAGGTGAGACGTAAGCTGACGTACGGCATCGCACGAAAATTTTACGTTACGTTATGAAGGAACATAGAGGTTCTGTGACAAAGGTAATTAAATCAGATTATTGAACAATAAATAAAGAAACAATAATAATACAGGCCCACAATTTAAAAAAAGTTGTCTGTGCTGGGGGTCTGACTAGGTGTACTATACATATTTTTGGCTGCTGAATCCAAATCCAGTGCCAAATTTGCTCTATCACTTTTGAGTTTTCTGGAAAATCGAGGAAATCGTAAAAAGGAGCAGATATCAATGTTTTTACGGAGACATGTTTTCAAGGAAAATTCTAGAGTGACGAATAACCCTTTAACCCCATAACCAACGTTGAAAATACATTATGTACTTCAACATCTGATGACTAGAACAACCCAATAACCCATATACTATCATACATATTCGGTTTTAGTTCACCCATCAATCCTTTAACATCGCATAAATTAGAAAATCTAATCTGTGCGTGCCCTATCATGGTCACATTCATGTTATTGTCCACAAGATGGAATTTTTTTTCTATTTGAAATATCAATTCTACAATATATGATCGTCGATCAGATAAATCCTGCTGCTTCAGAGGATGTTGGAGACGATGACAACTGTCCCGTAAGAGGATGTGTAGAATGATTCGTTTTCCATGTTAAAGTACATAATGTATTTTCAACGTTGGTGTGGAATTATGGAGTTATTTGTCACTCTAGAATTTTTCTTGAATACATGTCTCCGTAAAAACCTGGATATCTGCTCCTTTTCACGATTTCCTCAAATTTCCGGAAAACTCAAGGGTGATGGAGCAAATCTGACACCGGATTTGGATTCAGCAGCCCAAAATACGTATAGTGCACCTAGTCAGACCCCAAGGACAGACAACTTTTTTTAAATTGTAGGCCTGTGTAATTTATCTTTACAGCCATAATTAGAAATATCTATATTAAGCACATATTAATTTTATTAAACTATTAAATAGTACCTTACCTGTACAAAATTATAAACATTGCGTTATAACCTCTTCTAAAACTGATGAAGACATGTTTGTCAAATATGTCAGGATGAATGTTCAACATTTTAACAAGTTATCAACCATGCTAAGACCTTAATTTGCAAAAAAAAACTAAGAAAACTCTGTCTCCGGAACACACGTTAATAATAACATTAAGGTAAATATAGTTTATTAGTAAAAAATTGTTTGATATAAGTACTTCTTAAATTTTTAGTTATGTTTAGAAATCATTGTTAGAAAAAAATGTTTCATGAAATTATAAACTATATAGCAAAAATTGTGATA